TGATAGTGTTGGAGAGGCCAACACCAGTTTTGTCCTTCACCTCTACAAACTCCAAAAACCTCTCAAACACACGGTTGTCTGGTAACATGTAGTGCAGCACTATTACCATCTGTGATTTACAGGAGACGTCAGTGGTCTCGTCTGCCTGTACAGACGCAAAAGGAGTCTCAGACACCTCCTTAGCTATAGCTTCTCTGTACACTTCATACATACAATCCAAAAGTTGGTTTTGGATCGTGCTTGATGTACCCTTAAAAATGTTTTGGTCGTCATAATACCTTTGTAGCCTGTAATCTCCTTCACGCATGGTCTCAAAAATCCACCTGAATAGCCTGGGTTCAAGAAATTGTGCTGTATTACAATTGCCACACATTTTAATGCATGCTATAATTCTGGCAAGCACATACCTATTCTCCTCCGTTTGTTGGTTGTGAAGGTCGATGGCTTGTCTATATGCGGTGTCTAGCTGAGCCACAACATTTGATTTCCCAAGCAATCCGAGTTTAACAGCGTTGTCTCTCATGTTTTGAGACCCTTTCAGACAGATGTTTTAAATCCTTAAACCACACACCGTCTCCACTGAGTAGCAGGCAGGGGAAGCAAAATAGTGATTGCTTTGAGATGTTTGCAGTTAGCCACTTCCAAACCACTCATTGTTGAATTTGCAATTTCCGACTTGTTGTGTAATGTTTATGTCCAATGGCCGATGAGCACCGAGACGTTTTATCAATAATTTCTCTTCATATGACAAGGTTTGAAAAGGATTTGCCAGTAGATTGTCGACTTGATTCATGATGATGACTGCTAGCTTGCTAGCTAAGATTTTGAAAGTATGATGTTGACATGATCAGTCCAATCAAAGCTACTGTATAGTGCATTCAGAAAGTATTCAGAGTCAGACCCATTGACTTCTTCCACATTTTGTTATGTTACATGCTAATTCTAAAATTGATTCAATTGTTTTTTTTACCTCAATCTACCCACAATACACAATAAGGACAAAGCAAAAACAGGTTTTTAGACATTTTTGCAAATATATAAAATTAGAAAATACTGAAATATGACATTTACATAAGTATTCAGACCCTTTACTCAGTACTTTGTTGAAGCACCTTTGCTCCATTCATCTTTCCCTTATTCCTGACTAGTCTCCCAGTCCCTGCCGCTGATAAACATCCCCACAGCATGATGCTGCCACCACCATGCTTCACCGTAGGGATGGTGCCAGGTTACCTCCAGATGTGACGCTTGGCATTCAGCCCAAAGAGTCAATCTTGGTTTCATCAGACCAGAGCACCATGTTTCTCATGGTCTGAGAGTTCTTTAGGTGCCTTTTGGCAAACTCCAAGCGGGCTGTCATGTGCCTTTTACTGAGGAGTGGCTCCCATCTGGCCACTCTACCACAAAGGCCTGATTGGTGGAGTGCTGCAGAGATGGTTGTCCTTCTGGAAGGTTCTCCCATCTCCACAGAAGAACTCTGGAGCTCTGTCAGAATGACCATCGGGTTCTTGGTCACCTCCCTGACCAAGGCCCTTCTCCCCCAATTGCTCAGTTTGGCCGGGCGGCCAGCTTTAGTTTGGTGGTTCCAAACTTCTTCCAGTTAAGAATGATGGATAGCCCATAGGACTTCACGTTTTCGTTGATTTGTTATTTTGTCAAGTGTTTATTCATCTTAATAAATATGTACACATCACGCTGCACCTTGGTCTGACCCGTCTCTCAATGACCGTGACAGGCTGTAACGTAACAAAATGTGGAGAAAGGGAAGTGGTTCTGAATACTTTCCGAATGCACTGTAGATATAATGTGATTTGACGTAATTTCATCAGTGGCCAATGACCTTGAGCCTTCTTGGATGGGCACTTCTAATGTAACTCTATGGCAGCACACAAGGGGCTTGAATTTTCGAGCTCTCCCCGTAGATTTTGCAGTGAGGTAGTGTCCCTATGAGTGACAGAACACTGAGCCAATCACGGCGCAACTAGAGAACATTACCAACCCCTACGCTCTGTATTTCTGCTGGCTGCCCCACCACCACAGAAAGCACTGAGCTAGGCTGAAACACCTGCATTTTGGAGCTGCCTTACTCAAAAAAGCAAAAGAGACCATGTTTGTATGCGGCTTTATTTTTTTTTATTGTTTGCAAACTGATATGTGACATGTATTAATGCCAAAATTACATAGCTAAACAGCCCTGAATGACCCGTCACTACTGTTTGTATTTGACAGTATGATACATTTTGCCTATCCCTGCTCCCCTTCAACACTCATTCTAACGTTACACCTCTCAACTGCCCTTTTCAATCCTTGATTCTCATTTTTTGTAGGAATCGTCTAGCTTGGATGGAAGAATGGAGGAAGGAACAAAGGGAATGAGTATAGAAGTAATCCAGTCTGCTGAGTAAGAAATGTAAATAGCCTATGTTTTGCTGTCTATCTCTTTCTGTCTGTCTGCCTGCAAGATTGCTGAGGGACAACATAGTCAATGTACTTGCTAGGATAAATCTAACTTAGTGAAGACCTTAGGTAATGGTTAATCATGATTCGTCTCTGTCTTTACAGTTCCTGAAACATGTCAATGACCTGATGCATGGCCTCTACAGTAGTGCTTGGCCACACCCAGTTACCTATTCTGCCACATCCCAGGGAAAGGAAAGAGCAGAACCACCCCTCCTAAATCCATAGTCAGGAGCTAGATGTTCACGTAAATATTCTAAAATCCGAATAAAAACAATATGCACATTTTCCCACCAGACATGTTTCCATCAAAATGACTTTTTTTGCGGATAAAAGGCTGTGTGTGATGACGTAGTGCACATAAAAATAACTTTTGCGGTTAAATTCCATTGTACCGAATAAAAAATACAATTGAAAAAGGGTTTCCATAGCATTTTCAACTCTACTTATTGTTTTGTCACAAAAAACGTTAAAGTACTACTTAAGTCGTTTTTGGAGGGTATCTGTACTTTACTATTTATATTCTTCACAACTTTTACTTTTACTTCACTACATTCCTAAAGAAAATAATGTACTTTTTACTCCATACATTTCTGGGCTGATCCCTCACCTTCCTCATGATCATTGATGCCCCACAAGGTGAGATCTTGCATGGAGCCCCAGACCGAGGGTGATTGACCGTCATCTTGAACTTCTTCCATTTTCTAATAATTGTGCCAACAGTTGTTGCCTTCTCACCAAGCTGCTTGCCTATTGTCCTGTAGCCCATCCCAGCCTTGTGCAGGTCTACAATTTTATCCCTGATGTCCTTACACAGCTCTCTGGTCTTGGCCATTGTGGAGAGGTTGGAGTCTGTTTGATTGAGTGTGTGGACAGGTGTCTTTTATACAGGTAACGAGTTCAAACAGGTGCAGTTAATACAGGTAATGAGTGGAGAACAGAAGGGCTTCTTAAAGAAGAACTAACAGGTCTGTGAGAGACGGAATTCTTACTGGTTGGTAGGTGATCAAATACTTGTGTCATGCAATTAAATACAAATTAATTACTTAAAAATCATACAATGTGATTTTCTGGATTTTTAGATTCCGTCTCTCACAGTGGAAGTGTACCTATGATAAAAATTACAGACCTCTACATGCTTTGTAAGTAGGAAAACCTGCAAAATCGGCAGTGTATCAAATACTTGTTCTCCCCACTGTATGTACACTACCGTTCAAAAGTTTGGGGTCACTTATACATTTCCTTGTTTTCGAAAGAAAAGCAAATTTTTTGTCCATTAAAATAACATCAAATTGATCAGAAATACAGTGTTAATGTTGTAAATGGCTATTGTAGTTGGAAATGGCTGATCAGCAACCATCAGTCCTATGTTCCAATGGCACGTTGTGTTTACTAATCCAAGTTTATCATTTTAAAAGGCTAATTGATCATTAGAAAACCCTTTTGCAATTATGTTAGCACAGCTGAAAACTGTTGTGCTGATTAAAGAAGCAATAAAACTGGCCTTCTTGAGACTAGTTGAGTATCTGGAGCATCAGAAATTGTGGGTTCGATTACAGGCTCAAAATGACCAGAAACAAAGAACTTTCTTCTCAAACTTGTATTTGTCCTCTTGCTCAGTTGTGCAACGGGGCCTCCCACTCCTCTTTCTATTATGGTTAGAGCCAGTTTGCGCTTTTCTGTGAAGGGAGTAGTACACAGTGTTGTACGAGATCTTCAGTGTCTTGGCAATTTCTCGCATGGAATAGCCTTCATTTCTCAGAACAAGAATAGACTGATGTGCCATTTGAACACAGGACTGATGGTTGCTGATAATGGGCCTCTGTACACCTATGTAGATATTCCATAAAAAAAATTAGCAATTCCAGCTACAATAGCCATTTACAACATTAGCAATGTCTACACTGTATTTCTAATCAATTTGATGTTATTTTAATGAACAAAAAAATTGCTTTTCTTTCGGAAAACAAGGACGTTTGTAAGTGACCCCAAACTTTTGAACGGTAGTGTATATTGTGCCTTCTGGTTTGCTTAATATAAGCAATTTGAAATTATTTATACTTTTACTTTTACTTTTGATACTTACAGTATCATACGTTTGGCAAATTCGTAACATATTCTACATTTCGCAAATTCGTAACACATAATACGAATTGTAAAATTAACATATCATACGAAATGGGCCATGAACATCCACAAATGAATACATACCATATGAAACGTAAGTAATCATACTAAATGGAATTTCTCGGATTTATGTAAAGAATATTACGAAATGCTCGGAGACCAGGTTGGCATGGTGTAACTCCAGCTGGGTTGGGGGTAGGCCACATTGATATTCCTGTAGATAATAGCATGGAGATAGTGTTGGCTAAAGGACTATACTTCTGTATGAATTGCCTAACATCATATGCACCTTTTTCTTACAGTAGTAGTATGCCCAGCCAGGATAAATAGCAATATCCAGATGCAAAACACTAATGATACTGGGGTTGGATGTTGTTGTTTTACTGATATTTAATTTAGTTAGGGGATTAGCTAACCTGTAGTATCTATCTGACTGTGCAGAAAGTGTTTGTTATGGTTCAGGCACTGAAAGGACAACTAAAATTGAGCTACCCCTATATTGAAGGTCCTTCGACACCCAACTGCTTTCTCCAACAGCAATCTCGGCAATGGCGGATTACGATAACTACGATGACCGGGATCGGGCTTACGGTAGTTTTGGTGGAGGCAGAGGGTAAGAAAATACCTGGACGAATAGAATGTGTCAGTATTACTGTATGGTAATGTGAGAAAACGCACTGATGCCTCAGGTTTATGCAGGGGCTTGTTTGAAATTCTTCTGAAAGATAGGCCTGGGTTCAGGACACGGGCCAGACAGTGCTAGTGGCTAGCCTCTCACGGCCGCTTTGATGAATGGGAAACCGGTATTGAGGGCGGGGAAAACTCGTGGATTGACCATAGCTAGCTACTTACAGATGTGCGTGTGATATTTTCCATTACAGGTTGTTAGCGACATATTAATGTCGGTTTGACAATACATATTATGACATGGTTATGATTGCAAGACATTTTATAATTCTTACAGACTGCCAGCATGGCACTTGGCGCCAGCAACTCGTTAAACAGCCCACATGGGCTGCATGTTGTGCTAGCAAGTCAGGGACTGCGTCGAATGGCCAAATCGGGTGATAACAAATCGGATGTCAACATGCACCATTCTCCGAAATCATTGTCAATACATAGCATGTTTAGTTAGCTATTAATCATTATTCAATGCACAAGCCTTTTGATGCCTTGTTAGTGGTAACGTTAGCTAGCTAGCTAGACTGCTAGCTAGACTAATTTGTGCTAATTGCATGAAGATTTATGCGGAGAACTAGCTAGTATGCTAACTCTGCTAGTTAGTCTAGTTTGGGCCCAGTGCACCATGCATCCATTCCTATCTAGTTTGATGCGCGCACTCGTCAGCTAGTTAGCTAGGTTTTAATGATTTGCAATGCATTTAACTAACATAACGTGGGCTAACTCGTGCATTGACGCCAGTCATTCAATACCAGGAACAAATTGTAAACGTTACGTGCTAACGATGTTGCGGCGATACTGAAATGTATTCTGAAACTCAGTCATAGCTAGGTAGCTAGCTAGCCAGAACTTCAAAATAACCTAATCAACGAAAACACTAGAAATTAGACTAGGTAGCTACCGGCATAAACTATATCCAGTTAAAATGTGATCCATTGGATAGGATAAACGTAACTGATAATATCGAAGATCTGGGCTTTTTCTGTATGCCACCCCTTGTCAGTGACTGTCATAACATTAACGTTAGTTGTTGTAATCATATTCTGCTTTGCTTGATTCACACAGGAAAGGAGTTGGAGCCCCTGATCCTGAAATACCTAAACTAGTGCTGTATCTATTGGGCTACCTGGCATAAATTAATTTCACACCATGGCCAAATAACTACAGATTATCACCATACCTCTTATCAAATGCTATGTAAGATCACAACAGCCAACATGGTTATTTTACAAAATATCGCTTGCTCTCCTTGCTTATTGTGGGATAGATCCAAATGCCCAACCTCCCTTGGAAGACCCTTTTCAGTTGAATGCATTCAATTGTGCAACTGACTAGATATCCCCTTTCCCTTGTTGGGGCCTATAGCTAGGTGGCTGAACCTCTTGGTTCTGCCTGGTCGCCTAGTTTGCTTTGACACCCGAGGAATGCAGCAGGCATGCAGTACCCCATCTGCATTTCTCAGCCCCGTCAGATTGGAGTGCTATTGCCAGCAAGGGAACAGGTTCCTTGAAGTTTTGGCAAAGCCCCACCACTCCTCATGAGGAGCATACATTTTTTACATTTACATAATTATAGCAGACTCTCTTATATCCAGTGCACTCATCTAAGTTCAGTAGGGGAAAACAATTACATAGCACAGTCATTGCAAGTAGACCCTTCTTCGAAATGGCTGTTATCTGTGCACAGGAACTTCTGCTGTTCTTTGAGAAAAGTTAATTATTTTGTGTAGAGGTGCTGACAAATGGAGAACAAACTGTAAACTATAAAAATAGTTGTGTGTGTGTGTATGTATGTATATATATATATATATATCTCAAACAAACTCCCAGTAATTTATTAGGTAAAACAGCAATGTTTCGGCATCACTGTGCCTTCTTCAGGGTAAAAAAAAATTGAAACACATGGCAGCTCTGTATTATTTTTTACCAGTATTTAGCCCAACAGGGCTGCTGTCTTTTTCTGTGTGCTGCTCACACTGTTGGCATTGAAATGGAACAGATTATTATGTTTCTGTGTCAATTCTTTATCCAGTTTCCAGACAGCCTAGTCCTATTTCCTGTATTGTATGTGCAACGTTATGTATTTTCCTATGGGATCTGAGCTGTTGATCTTTGGTATTATGATTGGTAATGGATCTGTCCAAGTGTACCTCATTTATCGAAGGCTCAGAGAAAATCAGATGAAAAGTATGACTGCACTACCTCTGTGCCACGGTTTTGCCTGTGACTCAGTTAATGTCCCAATTATCAACCATCATCTCCTGCTCAGACTCTCAGCCATTGATACTATTAGTCCTTAGTCATTCTTGACCAGGAAAAACACAGGGTCCTGTACGTGGGGAGTGGCTATCTGTTGTAGTCTGTTCTCTCACGGAGGTGTTCGTTTCTGGTAGACCCAGAGGTGGCAGTGGACCTGGTGGACCCCGCAAGCAGAAGGATCTACCCACAGAGCCCCCATACACAGCCTACGTGGGCAACCTGCCCTTCAACACAGTACAAGGAGACATAGACACCATTTTCAAAGACCTCAGTGTCAGGAGTGTTCGACTAGTCAGAGACAAAGAAACAGACAAGTTTAAAGGTGAGCAAGCACCCGTTTGTCGTCGTCTTAGTAAAGCATAACCTCAAACATCACAAGCCACGGCAACACAGTTTTGTTTGTTATTTTTCTTAACCAAATTAATTTTCTCCTTTCAGGTTTTTGTTATGTAGAGTTTGATGACTTGGAATCCCTTAAAGAAGCTTTGACGTATGATGGTGCAGTGAGTACCTGCAATTAGTTTTCTCAGGTCCTCATTTGTATCTGGTTCATAAATGTAAAAGGGAAACTGTGGTTTAGTGTTGTCACAATACTCAGGATCACAGGAATGAATTTCCAGTCAAAATTATGGAAACAAACAGCTGTATGTTTTTTAATTTTTTTATAGCTATAGCACACACTATTTAACATAAAACAGGTTCTTAAACTGAGACCTCAGCGTTATATGATGTGGCCATGAGCAGCAATGTGAATCAAAGATATTGCAGAGTGGCACTGATGCAAGAGGCTGCTGAGCATTCACACAGAGCATCTGCATAAGAGTTCACTTCACTCATACAACGTGACAACTGCGGAGGAGATTAGCCTCTGCTATTGCCCTCTTTGTTGTTTTGGAAATCATCCCGATTCTTCTGTTTATTCATGCATCGCTGAGTATACCTTAAAAGGACCATACAGTTGTCTGCTTCGTATGGAAAATCGGATTATTGTGATATGGGTATCGTGACAATGGAATACATCTATGCTGTTTTTGCATAAAACAAATAAAACTGTCCCCAACACTATGATAAACTTAGTTGGTTTTGCACCTTTCATAAAATAGATTGCAGTCCAAAGTGCTTTAAAAGTTAGTACAGTGACAACCGAATATCATTTTATAAAAGGGACAATTAAATGGAGCGACACGTCCAACAGTGATGTATTTGTAGGACATAAACACTGTCGGAAGCCTTATCAGAGAAGCGGACCACATTGTTTCATTTCCTCCTAGTGCTGACTTGTACCTTCCCGCTCCCCAGCTCCTTGGAGACCGGTCACTCAGGGTTGACATAGCAGAGGGCCGAAAGCAAGAGAGAGGCGCCGGAGGATTCGGGTACCGGGGGAACGACAGAGGAGGTACCTTCTTGTGCTAACTTGTTTGTTCCTCTTATGACTACTGCTTAGTATATTTCTTGATTATTAATATGTAGTATATTATTACAACTACAAAGAAATATCAATGACTTACGTCAGCTGATTCAGTGTTGATCTTTTACATTCTCTAATGAGTCAAGATAAATTGATTTGTGGATTGTCTTAACTGTAAATATTAATATGAAGTAACAATACCTCATGGCCTAGATTTGAATAATTATGCATCTTTAACATTGACCTAAGACTATCATCTTTCACCATCATACTCAAATCCAAGGCTGTCTTAAAATCTGTCAATTATCAGAAGCTTTGCTGTTCTGTTTGAGTTTGCTGCCATCTAAGCATACAGTGTATTCCACTTATAACAATAACGGAAGAATCAATCATTTATTGTGGTCATAAAAAACGTGACAAGATGCTTGTACATCACTTTTATAGATCAATGGATTATGTAATCCGCTATAATCAAATCATCAGTCCTTATAAGAGGAGTGCATTGCTGAATGACTACTACCACTGTTGCCTCTTTGGCCTTATTCTTGTTGTATTTCACTACATGCTGGGATATGAGAATACCTGGCACTTCATAATGTATCCATTCACACATCGATCTTACGCCTTTCTCTCCTGCTTCCTTTTCCCGAGGTAAATCGTGCTTGACCAGTTTAGCTCTACAACCCTACAAATATGAGCAGCTAAACTAAATATTTTCTACCTTCTCTACTTTCCTAACCAAAGACTTCAACTAGCTGTCTCTAGAAGTAGTACTACTAACCTAGGCCCTTGGCTAACCAGCACTAGGCCCTTGGCTAACCAGCAGGTGGGTTCCTCACCCCTGCCTCAGCCCTAAGCACCACTCACCCCTGTTGTTAAAACTGAGCCCTGTCCCCTGCAGGCCGAGGGGGCTCTCGTGGAGGTGGTCCCAGAGGAGGTTCCAGAGATGACTACGAAGGAGGTGGGATGAGCGTTCCGCTGGTTTAGCCGGTCCCCAACCGGTCATTAGAGCAGACCAAGTTTGACTGCTGCAGTTTAAGATCCGAGCAGTGCAGTACAGTACAGTGGGTAGAGCGAGCACCAAGCTAAGGAAGCAAACCAATTGCTCCCATTTTTTGATTTGTGAATCTGCAGAATAGTTTGATATAAGCAGTATGTGATTTCCTCCCCCCATAGGAATTCACATAGGTTTTTCTTTTGCGATTTACACTGTTTTATTGTCCCTTGGTGCATTTTGTTTGTTATCCCTCTGTCATCACTCATACAGGAGGTTCACCTCATTTTCATGTGTCACCTTACAGGGCTGCTCCAGGTGCTGGGCAAGGACAGAGATTTAATTTAGTCAGATCTGCAATGTTTAGAATGTTACTGAAAGGAATGTGGTGTTTAGAGCTCACAAGATTCATTATCTTTATTCCACGAGAGAATCATGTTTGTTCTACACTATACTTTATCTGAACGTTCTGTGACATTGTACTCCTGAATGAGCCCAAGACTGTCTAACCTGTCTCTTCCCTCTGCATCTCCTCGCGTAGGCTACAGAGGAGATGACGACTTCGGACGAGGCCGAGGAGGCGGCCGCGGTGGTGACCGAAGGGGAGGCGGTGGAGGAGTAGGCATGGGGGGACGCTACAGGGATGGCGGACCACCACCGCGCGCTGGAGCGGAAGACTTCAGAGAACCCTCTGACGGTGTCACAATCTCTCTTATCTCATATAAAACACTCTAGACCAGAGGTACTCCCATTACAGTGTGGAGGTCTGAAGGAATACAGTTATTTTTTTATTTTTCTCCGCTGTAGTTAGTTAATTGATTGATAGATGTCGCTGATTGGTCAGAGACTCCACTCAACTGGTGTCCCACGCCTGAATTAGTCCCTGATTAGAGGAGAATAATGAAAATAAGCAGTACTTCTGGCATCAAGGTTTGAGGAAAAAGAACCCTAGGCAATGTTTAGTCATGGAAGAACGGATCAGTTTAGATGGATTTTTGATTGGTTTGTGCATTGTTACAGTACAGCTTTTGTGAAGATGATGTGAAGGTGTCAATATTGACCCCTCATTTAATCTACTGAAAAACCCTGAACCCAGTGGCCACCTATTTGATGTGATAACATTAGACTTGGCCAGTTAATCATGTTATTCAATTTTTTTGTTGTTGCTTTCCACAGAGGAGAGGGCGCAGAGACCACGGCTTCAGCTGAAGCCACGCACGGTGGCTGCCCCACTAAACCAAGTTGCCAACCCCAACTCTGCCATATTTGGTGGAGCCAAGCCGAGGGAGGAGGTAATTCCCAAAGACAAACCTTAAGAGATTGACCAGGCCTCAAAGCCCGGGAGGGGAGGGCAGGGACGGTGTAGAAAAACGAAACGATGCCAATGGGATACGTTAATGGGATACGTTAACGGCTTCTGTTAGCGTTCCTCTATCGGAGATGACGAACTGAACAAAACCCTCTTTCTGAGTTAAGTTTGAGTGAAATATTTATTTGAGACTGAATTAAAAACAAGAGGAGAATACACATACTCTTGGAAAAATAATACAACACACAAACACCCAAAGAGCAGCTTGTGAATGCATGTTAAACTGTTAACATGGTTTTTACGTACACCTCTGCTTCCCTGTGATTAGTGCCTGCTTTGTCTGTAGTTTTATTGGGGGAAGGTCCATTCACATGTTGATTGCAGTAAAGGATGAATACAATTGAGATGAAAAGTAACCTTTTCAGTTTATTTAGTAGTATAATTCACTACGATATTCGACCCTCTGATGTGTGTTGGAATTGAAGTATCTCTGGACCCCAACTCTGAAGTAGTCGCTATGCTTGCATGTGGGTAGGCATTGATCCCCACAAGAATTCTGACCCCTTTACAAAATGTAATATAACATGAATTGTTAGAATAGAATGGTTTGCGCTGATGGTTTGGTTCATGGCTGTTGTGGCTGAGCTTCTGTAGGGAGTCGAAGGTTTTGTTATCACAGTTGGTCGACACGACACCTTCATTGTCTTAAGAGATTCTGCACCCCTCCTACACACTCACCAACAAGAAAGCCTGGTCAGAAATGTGCTGCTGTTGTTTCTGTTTAGCCCCTATGACTTCCAAATGTAAATTGGCGTTACGTTAAAATGCATTGTTCAGCCATATGGTCAGTGTTCAGTTTGGGAACCGTGCAAAAAATAACGAACAATTTTCATTAGTGGAGCTGTTAAGGTCATTGTATCTGCTTAACTATCCAATTGTAGTGTAGTTGTTAAACTATTTTATAATTTCTCTTATTATTAAATCATTTAACATTTCCCCCAGAATTGAACCTGTCTAACCATAATGTTTTTCTGTTTGTTTCCCATTCTCAAAGCTTGAAAAAGAGGCAGAAAAGGAATAGATATATCCACATGGCTGCATTATTCTGGAAGTCTACTTTGGATCTACTGGCTTTGTTTACCAAAAATCTTTCAAAGACTTCTCCCAAAGAAAGCTCGCTGGGGAGTCAGGCGCTGGGTTCCTCTTTCTGCTCGCTAACACAAAGCAGGCCTTCATCTAATTGGTAAAAGAGCAGTTGGACCCAAGGCTGCTGTGAGGGGCAGGGGCCAGGCCTATGTCAACCTGACCCGTATCCCACACACATCAAAAGGAACTCGGGACAGTGGCTTCAGTTTGGTTCTGTTGCCTTTTGGGTAAGGACTTTGATGTGTCACTTTCTCTTATCTTTCCCAAAGCATCCTTTGTGTTCACCAAATGATTTGCAGTTTTAGACATACAGCAGTCAAAAGGCTGTTCCTTTGGTGTCTTTTATATATTTTTGTCCGAAATTTCTGCTCAATTTGTGAAATGATTATCATTTCAGCTTCAAATTTCCACTGTCTTAAATATTAAATGATAACATTGCCAAGAGAACTGAATCCTTATTGTTGTCTCTCAATGTGTAATTCTGGAACCCGATTGAAAGATTTTTGATCTTAGTCTGTTAAATCCAGGCAAAATGGCTTCCTGCATAATGGAGCGAAAGTGTTTTAGAGGAGCGGCTGAAGTGCGCACTAGATTAAATCAAAAACATGGGTTATTGCAACGGTCTTGATGTCTGGCAACTTTTTACTTCCACAGCTTGATAGTTGTATGCATTTTATCAACAAAAAAATGGATCACTTAAACACTGCAAAATGTACAACTTTAACATAGGAAACTTAACTGAACAAAAATCAACTGCTCTCATTTGTCCCATGGAGACTGGCTAAATCTAGTCTGCCTACCAGTAGATCGTGTAGGAGGATGCTTTTGAGAATTTGTGTGTTGCGACCATTTTTATTTACATTTGACTGGTTATGAAATTTAGTAAGTGATACCTTGTTCCTACTGTACTATAGAAAGATCTGTTTTTTTATTTTATTTCATTTTTCCTACACTGTTTATGGCAATAAAATGTATCATCTTACATTAATTCTTATCAAGAATGTGTTTAAATGGGATGGGTGAATAAGTCAAGGCAATGAAGTAGTTCTCTGAGAACACAAAGCAATGTGAACATAGAAGAAAAACATTTTAATTTAATGGAACAGGGCAGGCATTGTTTTGAAAAAGTTAACTCTGTAAGGAACATGCATACATATCCAGTTTCAGTCCATTTAAGTTATTGTTGATTATTCCCTACAAATTTTCTTTCTATGTTCGCAAGTGTCTTTCTGCACACATTAGAAACAACTAATGTATCGCATGCAGAGAACCTAGTTCCTCATCCTCAATGCTTTCCCCACAGGATTACAACATAATGCAGAGGGTATGTGGAATACCATTTTGAGGCCTGTTATGCACCGTACAGTAGCTTGAGGTGCAGGGACAGGATCCTTTTCAGTGTTTGTGTGAATGCCAGACAGAATCCTTGTTCTGAATTTATGGTTAGTTGAACTTTGAGAACAGGGGTGTATTCATTATGAAAACTGTTTAAAAAGTTGTTTCTATTGGAGAAATTTCAGGTAGGTCCCGCCTTGTTTCGTTTGCTTCGGTTTAAGAAACGTTTTGCAACAGAATCAGTGTAATGAATATGCCCCTGAGCAATACTTTTTTTTGTTGCTTTGTTTTGTTTTGATTGAAGCACCCAATATTCATTTTAAATTGGCTTTGTTTTGCAGAGGGTAGATACAGCTGAAAATATAACAGGTTTTGGTATTTTGAACAATCTTTTAAATAAAACAATTGAATTTTCTGTCACTGCTTACATGAAAAGGTTTGGTATTTTTTTTATCTGAAGGAAGTACCAGTATCAAACATTCTAGTATGAAGAACATTCATTTCGCATTTAGTCCTTCGGGGAACAATCTTGAGAAAGTTGAAAGTATTAGGCCACTGTGTTGACCTTATTTTGTCAATAAATCTTCACTCTAAACACGTTTTGGTGTGTCAAGTACAACATATTTAATCGCCTGCTGACTCTTTGTCCAATAACCCACATGGCTTGTCATGCATAATGTCATTGTTTTCTTGGTAATGTCTGAGTGAGGATCATCCTGAGATTGTAATGTTAAGAATTTCTATATTCTGTCAAACCTCTGTGACCGAATGGCTGGCCGAAAGATATATATATATTCCTGTCTACAATATTCTGAAAGATGCATCCCTCATGCTTAATATTGCTTCAAATATTTCAGTTTTGCAGATGGAAATTAGCCTGAGTGCCAGTATGTGCTGTCATGTTAACTCATAGTCATGCCAATGACACAGCAATGGAGTTGGCATTGGCAAGAGCACAAACAAATCAGGAACCAGGCTAGATGGAAATGTTTGACAGATTTATATTCCGTATGAAGTCATTCATCGTGTTCTGCTAGTTTCAACCCTTTGAATAAGCCTATGGTGAATATAGGCCTACCCCATGTGAAGCGCTCAGAGTACACATTTGTATGCGCAATACTAGGGCCACAAATAGGCAAATGTTGTGGAAAGTTGCAGATACAAATGTCATGAATAGATCTGACACAATTCCTTATTTTACATATCCGAGAGGGATGTTTGGTTCTACATGCTGTATTTCCATCTGAACGTCGCACAATGTTGTGCCCTGCTGAATGCAACCCGGTAGTCATCGGCTATGGTGGGCAGATTGGAATTGAAAATGTCATAAAGGGCAGATCCCACACTTCCAATGAGATGCACCGCAACCTCTAGGTATACCCCACAACATTGTGTTTGAATAAAAGTGCAGGGAGAGTTATATAGCCTACTGGTGCAGTGATCAACTTGCAGGTCCTTCGGTAGTCAAAGTAGGCAGGTACACATACAGTTGATGAAGTACCTGAGAGAGACCGCTGTGTAGTGGAACGAGGATGTAGTGTGAAAGAGGAAGTGTGTTCTGCTTCTTTGGCTCAGTCACTTTGATCAGGCAGGCATGGTTACATAGGTGGACCCAGACCCAGCCAGTTGAAACGGAGGTAAGCAAGACCATCTGACCCCATAACACTTATTTTAACCCAAAGGTTTTGGTGCACGGTTTCCCGTACCTAGAGTAAATACTCCTGGGTATAGCACTTTCAATAGAAATTCTCTATTAAGCAGTCTTTTTTTTTTAAATGCATGCCAGCAAAGCCACAACACAACACTAAACAATACATTAATTGGACTATAACAGTGACAAACAGTGCCCACAAACTGTTAGGGCCTACATAAAGCTGTCCCAACACCTTAACACTGTTACACCTGGCTATCAGCAGAGCCTTGTCTGGCAGCAAAACAGTTCATTCAGCCTCATTTACTGCCTTTAAAAAAACATAGCTGATATGGCTGACTTGCTTAAACAAATGTGGTTTCTACTGACAATTGAGATGTACAAACTATGGCATAAGGGGACGACGAGCGGATAAGAGGCAATCCGTAATATCGATTAAGACAGTAATGAGCGAGCTAGGACGGACGTAGTCAAGATACCTATTTGTTCAGCACTTATGAAAATGTACAGCGACAGAATTCAGAACGTGGGCCGTTCTTACAGTATTCTCCCTGTACACCAAGTCAGAACCGTAGGATAAATAAAGGGGGCATATAAGCAGACAATGAAAGCTCTTACAATATTCGATGACTTTCTCTAAAACAGGCTATAGGCTACATGTGCACCACCAAGTCAGAACAGTAGGCTAAATTATGAGGGGAAAAGGGACCTAATTATTAGGGTGAGGCACATGGGCTACTAACAGTTTACTACACAACATACACTTAGTATTACTTTCTTAGCTACAGTATACATATCTCCCTGGCATATTACATCATTTATGCAGCAGCATACAATACATTTTCGGACTCACCTTGTTGTGCTGTGCTCACTTGAACAGGAAGGTGGCGCAGCGGTCCTTCGTGGGAAAATGTTGTCATCAAAGTCTGGCATTCTCTGGATTTATGGTGCTTTCAAGACAACTGGGAACTCTAAAAAAACAATGTGGAATCATGATGTTAGTGATCTTCAGGTCGGGGCTCTAGAAAGAGGCCCGAGTTCCCGACTTGAAATTCCGAGTTGGATGACCATTCAAAAGGTATTTTCCCAGTTGAAGCTCATTTTTTTCAGAGTTCCCAGTTGTCTTGAACTCACTGAAGTCTGAGATTGACAGCATGGCCAATGTTGAATGTTTATCCTTTTAAGCTTGAAAAAAAAAAGAGACCCTTTGTGGTGTCCGAGACAACGATGCCGATTATGCTGTGATGATAAGAATTCCGCTGACGCTGTACTTTGATTATAAAGGTTTATTGTATCAAAGAAGTTCAGCGTCAATTTACAGACATCTGCAGATATCTGGAGAATAACCGGACCCAAATCTCTGATATGTTATTTCTCCCCGTCCTTTGTTCAAAATATGGTATTTATCCTAAGATGGGTGGTTTTTGACAGACCAATCCCCGGCTTCCACATATCTCCAAATGTCCTCTATTCCAAGAAGCCTATGTAGTAATGCTTTCCAGATGTTTCAGCAAAGCAGAGTAGAGTTCATCTATTACAACATTTGCAAATGTCAGCAAAATCATAGACCTTCAGACACTACATATTTCCCCCCTTCGAGACTAATTAAGTCTCGAAAACAAAAAGAATAGGATTATGACAAATAAACATTTTTGTTCATGAGTAACTTCAGCAATAAACCAAAATGTATGGAGAGTAAACACATGTTAATATAGACACATTTTTGTATGGAGTGTAAATAAATTGTTATGGAGTGTAAATAAATTGTTATGGAGTGTAAGAGCGAAAAACCTGTCTGGCAGCTTTCATTCTAAATATCCATCGATCAATCAAGACAGGAAAATTCTCTCACAGCCCCTCTGCCCCAGGCGACCACCTAAGTACTCCAGATCAATTTATACATCTTTATCAATGCATTTTAAACTATGATGCAATTGAATACAGATGAAAACCTCAGAAAACAAAATACAATCAAAAATGTCCACATTCAGGCTGGTCGACCCATCGGACCCTCCTGTGGATTCTCTCTGTCCCTGCCTAGACCCAATATCCCTAAGCTTCAACGAAATAAACAAAAACATCTGAGATCCCCACATGTACCCAATAACAGCAAATGTCATTCTTCAAAAATTTATACAGAAAGAATATGACACAAATTATGTATTACACATGCAAATATGTCTATATATCATTGCAGACACTGGAATGTAGTCCACTACACTTCATCTCCTCAGCAGTGTCGACTTCCAATGAAACGTTGATGATGGAATCTGAACATTTCCACACCTTCCTTGTTCCACTTCCTCCAGTCCATTCATATTGTCCATGTTTGAGTATTTGAATCCCACTCTACACATCCCCATATACTTCTGGAAGAAAAGAAAACACCAACCCGTATCTATTGCAAAACAACACATGCAAATTAAAACGTCAATATCAACTAAACATGATATATAAAATTATACATAAAATGAATCACATCCCATTTCCCCCCTTTGATTCATAAGAAAATACTAAATATCACAATAATATAATTATCCCACAATCAGATATTCCAAATTTCCTCTAGTTATTTCAAGCCTAGTTTTCATAACATTTTAGTCTGACTTTTTTATTTTTTATTTCCAATTTTTTCAAAAACCATTTCACTGATTTATCCACAAAACTCCTTCCCACTAATTTGAGGATATGTGATCGGGAAGTCCCCACCTGCTTATGACTTCTTTACACAAGAACTTTGCAACCGACTGAGCATCTTTTAGCTTAGTTGGACATCTTATGCACTTCTTGGGGTAGGAATGTAACCAAGAATAACAGTCACACCCCTTCAAACATTATTTTTTCAGACAGATTGTGCACCTGCCTATGACATAGTCAACCTGTTCAAGCAAATATGGTTCCCAAAAACCCTACTCCTTTTTGATCTTTCGCCTAACCTCCCCCCTTGCAACATTAGCTAACCCATAGCTTCCTAAATCATCAGACCTATTAGGTCTAGAGGCGCTACTATCAACCCCTCATAGTTTCTCCCAAGACAATAAACATTCTTACTCTGAGGATTTTTTCTATTGTCTTCAAAACACCTGCTTTTGAAAGTCCTTCAATTTATGGTTCAATCCCTTGGATTGCTTCATCTTTCAATCGATACTGATTCTTCCAAGGAGGTCTGGCTCCTGGTCGAAGTTCAACTTTCACCTCAATTGTTGGATCTTTTTCCGGTCCTGATGCTACCAGCTGACACCCCCCTTTCGGATCTTCTGGGCACCCCTAGAATCCTTGCTCCGGGCCCCTATAGGGGTTCACCTATCCTCCAGATGATCTTCACTTGCCCCTGTATCTTCCTCTGAAATTCCCTCTGGTGTTTCCTCCTGGACCATTACACTCACAGGCAAATTCACCAACCTGTCCACAATTATAACACACTTCTAATGATTGCTGGAAGTATGGCTTAAATCTTCCTCCTCTTCCTCTTCCTAAGCCTTCTCGTCCTCTTCCTCTCCAATTCTGTC